CCCTTTGCTTTTTCTTCTCTCCTGCCTACACTTTCATCCTTCGGCTTCTTCCGTTTATTTTTCTGTCTTTTGTGCCCATCTTTATTTTCTGGACATTAAAGGATCACTATAGGCTCAGGACACAACACATGTATGTATGACCCTACAGTGCTAAACCCACCATTTAGGTGACTTGCCCCCTATAAAAGTTTAAAACTCTTCTTATTTCCAGTGCCAGACGGGTCTGCCGGCGCTGGCTCTGCCCCCCTTTGTGACATCATCAAAATGGCTGATTTTTAGCCAATTCAGTGCTTTCCTATAGGGGCCAAGTGCCGTTTTGGCAATCAGGACCTCCTCATAGTGATGCATTGAATCATTGCATCTCTTTGAGGAAAATTCAGCGTCCCCATGCAGAGCGTGTGGATGCTGAACGGCAGGGCGGCTTACCATTTGAGGAGTGGCCACTTGGAGGTGTCCCTAGAGGCAATGTAAACACTGTCTTTTTTTCTGAAAAGGCAGCGTTTGCATTAAAATGCCTGAAGGGGGCTATTACACTCACCAAAACAACAACATTAAGCTGTAGTTCTGGTGAATATAGTGTCCCTTCAAACCCTACTACTTTATTCATTTTTTAAATGCACAGTTATGGATACATCACTGGTATTGTCTATTAAAATAAAGAATACAAAAAATAAATCTAACATTTTCTTTCCTTAATCCACAACAAATCTGTATTTTGTTTATAATGATCTGCATCTTCTCCTCTCTACCCATCCATTAGCAATTTAATGTGCATGCATTGTTCTCCTATATTTCTTATTCTTAGAATAGCTTCTTGCCACTCTATGTTTGTACCACACGTTAAAAGACACTACAAGCACCATAACCACTACAGTTTAGTGTACCAGTGCTGCCCCAAAGTAAGCAGTCGTTTTAGTACTGTTTGACAATTTACATGCGTCCTTTCTGTTGCTCGTGCCAGCTGTCCCTGCTTCCAATATTCTCCTTTAACTCTACAGTTCCATAGTAGGACCACACAGGACCGCCCTCATTAGTGAATAATCCCGCTAATTATATTTTTCACTGAATTCCATTGTGTTTTAGGTTAAAATTACTGTGAACACAAAGACACATTGGCTTAAGATTTACTCCACACCCTACCACACAGACCCAGTTACATTCATCTAATATCTGAC